CACTTACAGGTAGCATGTCTAAACCTCCAAGAATATATTGATCAATTTTTTTTCATTTTATTAAAAAAAAAAAAAAAGTTATTTGTCAGCATAGCCAGATTCTGAGGCAAAAACTACTTACGATTTAACTATTTCACATAATATAGCAATTGACGTTTACCTGCTAATTTATACTTTGGCTACTAGCTTGAACACAAATCACTATTCGACTCACAGAAAGTAAGATCGAGTATACACCACAGTTAAGAATGTTAAGACAATCTCCATAAGTATTTCATAATTTTATTTGAATATATGTTAATGAGTGATCTACCATTATTTATAAGAATTCACTATACTTCTTGAACTTTTTTTACTTTTGGTGTTAATTTAGCATGTAAGTATTAGAATCAGCAAATTTATGTTTATTTAAATAATTTTATATGTGAATAAATATGGTTGGTAGACGATTTTGGCATTAACTAGAACTGGTTTTGACTTTAGTCAACTAAAATTCTAATGGAAGTAGAAACTGTCAAGAGGTGATCAAAGCTGTTATAATTGCTAAAACTTTGAAAAGTATTCAACACCTATAATTACGAGAAAAGCAATTTATCCTATAACATTGGCCAAAAGTATTTGAACACCTCAGATTTTGTCAGAGTTAATTACTAATTATTAACTGGTAATTAACTCTAATAAATCTGAGTTGTTCGAATACTCTTGGCCAAATAGAGATCAATTCTACAAGTTTGATATAATTCTATGTTTGAATATAAACCTATATAGTCTATATCCAATAATCTTACATTCGTTACAGGTTTATAGAGACTAGCTTACTTATTTCAGGATTTTTTATTTACATGTTTTTTATTTGTAACTAGGATAATGGTACTATAATAAAGTAGAAAAAACGTAATATTTATATGCATAATCATTTATAATATTTATTTATGCTAGGCTTCTTCTATATGTAAGGAACCAACTTTTGAAAAAAAATTGAATTGGCTAATATAATATTCTAGTAAGTGTTATATTATTGATTCATTTTTGGAAGGCCGATTTCTAATTGTAAGATCCTAGCTGTTTAAACACTAGTCAAAATTAAACAATTCAACATATTGGATTTTTAATTTTAACTAACTGCTAAGTAAAATGACAGAACCTTAGTATATTTTTTTGTTGAGTTACGGATACTACTATTTTGATAACAACTGATAGTGGTATTATAATAGGCTTACAACTACAATTTGAAACAAATTCAAATTAAAACTACTAACTAAAAAAAGCCAATATTTTAGTAGTTATATTTTAGGTAAAGTTTAATATGCAATAGAGATGTTACGATTGCCAGACATCTTAATATCTTTGATTTATTCAAAAAGCATACCACCAAAGATAATCTACTTCTTATTAATGCTTATTATGGTGAGTTAAGAGCTTCTATTTTATGCTAAATTTAAAGCATTTTTATTCATAACTTTTAATGCTGCTTGTTCTCGGTGTTCAGATGTAGTCTTCGTTATCTAATTTTGGATTGTTGCAGGTTTAGGAACTTCTTCACTAGAAATTTCGCCATCTTCAGCACATTTTAATAATTCACGATACATGTCTTGAGCATTGTAACAGTCACTTTTGTTTACATTTCCTGCTATAAAAAACCCTTCCAACAAGGTTCTCACCTTTTTCGACATTTGTTTTCTGGCACCTTTTTTGCCAAATTTTTGGTTTTCTTTAGAGCCCAACCAGAGCGCAAAGGAAATACATTATCAATATCTCTAAAGATTAACTAGTAAGTAATTTTCAATATTAAAAAAAAAAAAACAATATTACTTACAGTTGGGTTTTAATATTCGTCATATCTGGGAATACTTCAACTAATATTTCGTTATCTAAATATTTTAATTTTTAGCATTATTCCGCATAAAATACTATTATCTCAACTTTTTTACTTACTTGTATGCGTGTTCATCATTAAATTTGATTCTAATTTTTCTACTAACTCATATTTATTTTCTTTTCCATTAATTTCCACACATCTTGAATGTAATTGCTTTACTAGGTTTTCCTTTGATAATCGATCTGGACATATATCTATAACATATAGATGTAAGTATTCAGTTAGCATCAGCATCTCCTATTTGTTTAGAGATATTACTAGCTTTATTGCATTTATTCCCTCTATTGATCTTCGTGCTAGGATGCAGATTTTTTAAGGTACGAAAAATATTAATAGCCGTTGCAAAGATTGATGAAAAATTAGGTAATTTAAGTTTGCTATTAGTAATGTTCTTTTTAATTATTGTAATAATTTCTTTATCTAATTCTTTGCATACTGTTTCATTTAATTAAATACGACCATTCTTTGCAGGTCACAGGAGCAACAGATGTTTGAGTAGTGACAAATGTAGCTGTTTTTTCTGATTGAACTGGTTCTTTGTTATCTAAAATAATATCTTCGATATGTTTATCCAGAATAAGATAATGGGCTGCTCATATTGTTTAGCAATTAGTTCTTCGTGTTTGTAAGCTTAGTACTGCCATTATAGCTATTTTCTTTGTTTTGCGATTTAAGTTCATCTTATAAATAAAGGCGAAATGACTTTTTCTTTAATTTTCAGGTTTTGTGAATTTTGTCGTTTCAGATTCTTTATTTTTTTGGGTCCATCTTCATAAGCGCCACTGAAAAAAAGTATTCTTTTTTTCTTTCTTTTTGTGTTTCAGATTCTTGCTTGTGATCAATTTTCTGGTTCTTCTCCGTGGTCTTCATGATTGTCTTTATCAAATATAATGGCATCTTCAATCTGATCATCAAATATAGAAGCTGCTTCATAAATGCCACTAAAAAAAGCATTTATCCTTTTTAAATGCTTTTTGGTATTTCATCATTCTTGAGAGCCACCAATCTTTCTATTCCTTGATTACTTTATTTGTTGCTTCATCAACTATATATTTATTGCACATTCTAATAATTCTTTTTTAGCGCTTTATTTCTAATTTTGCTCAGATAAATATTCACAGACTTTTTTATATTTATCTTATCTTACAACATAATTTAATATATACGTGCAGAGTTTGGTGGTGGTATATGTCATTCAGAAATTGGTGTTGTTGGAGTTGAAGTATGCAGGGTGAGTTTTTTTATTTCACATTTTTGCAACTTGTTCAATTGCGTTTGGGTAAATACTGTCCAATCACTAATATTTGGAATAGACCGTGCTAGTATACAACCTTCAAACTCTCCATCAATTGGCCATTGCCATTCAAACCAATTAGAGTTTCCAGGTAGTGTATTGCTTCCACTTCCTATAATAGCGTTATTATTATAACATTAACTAATCTCATATTTTTGGATTATATATACCTCTATCACGATTAGGTTGTAAATTTGATACAGAAGTTCCTCGAATTCCCTGAATTGCATTTTCAATATCTTGACCAGTTTCTATATCAAATCCAAGTCGAACATATTTTTTAATGGCATGTGAAATCTAAAATTTTCAAATAATAGTTAGTCGATTTTAAGGGAAAAAAAAAAATCCATTAGCAAACCTGTACGTGATGAGAATCAATAGTAGTTTTTGCTTCCCCTGCCTCAAAGAATACCCATTTTTTTACTTTTACATTATACCATTCATACCAAAGACCCAATATCATCATTAGGTCTGCATTATGATAATGTCCACCATTGTCAGATATTAAGATGATTGATTTTGGTTTTGGATCAAGATTTTCAAATACTGTATGTAGTGAAGAAGTAGTGAACTATGAATCTTGTTTAGTATCTGTGGCCCAGTGATCAAATGCTTGGATTTGAAATTTGTTTGAATCTA